TGGCCATGACCTACAGAGGAGACGTCTATTTCTTTCCCGTACTGTATCCGTTTTTATTATATTGTTGGCATGCCATAAGTTTAATTGACTGCTACTGAACCTTATTCTGCAAAATGGTTTATCATTGAACATTTTGTTTATGGTTAAAATGTTTATCTGAAACGCTCAAATTTTACTCACGGGTTATCCATACATTTACTTATTGAGATAGTTCATCTCATAGTTTTCCTTGTCCACCATTTCAGGTAGTGAGACCCGACGCGTGGGGAGCCCGGGGGAGTGACGAGCTAGACGGCTAGGCACTTTTGGACTTAGGTTTTGTAGCTAAGCCGTTAGTCACCCATGCTTGACATAGAAATTTTGTGTACAGAATTTAGTGTTAATCTTGATTATATATATATGAAATGAAAAAAATTTTGTATATCTGACTGGTAAATATTTGGTAATTAAAAAGAATTATATCTGAAGTACCTAAATTGTTAAGTAAGAACTTAGTAGGTTTCGAGCCTTGTGCATTTGTGGGCCCCGCTCACGAGTGCACGGCGTCTGTCTTGCTCCGGGTTTGGGGCGTGACAGATTTTGTGGTATCAGAGCCTAGGTGTAAATTAAGTGCCTAGAGCTAGTTTAGAACTTGGCTAGCTAAGGAATGATAGGAACGTGGTGAGGTATGAGAGTGGGGTTGATTAAAGGCGCTTGTTGATTCTTTCCTTAATGTGTGATGGGTTTTCTTGTTTTGTTTATTTGTGTTGCTTGGTCCCGAAAGCGGAAACTTGCCGGGAAATTTCTTGTTGGAGCATTTGATTATTAATCTATGAACCTTTTATGTGGTTATAGATGGCTCCAAAACGGCGTGGGCGCCCCCCAAAGGGTAGCCGTAAGGATCAGGGCACTCCTCCGATCCCAACTGCCAGTCCCTCTACTCAAGCCGCTCCGCAGGAGGGAGGGACGAGCAATCCCCAAGTGTCCGCCTTTGTTCAGGAACTTATGGCAGAGATAAGACGCCAAGTATCCCCTGCCACGAGTGTACCACCTCCATCCCCAGTGGTCTCTACTCCTGTGGCTCCTGCTTCGGTTTCCCCTGTTCCTATCTCTTCTGCTCCTGCTGTGCCTACCTGGAAGATTTATACAGAATTCCAGAAGTTGATGAAGAACAAGGGATTCGATGGCACTGCAGGTTTTGAGCAGGTGGAATCATGGATCACCGAGGTGGAGCGGGGATTCTACCTGCTACATGTTTCTGATGACCTTAAGGTTAATGTAGGCACTTACATGCTTAGTGGGAAGGCGTTAACTTGGTGGGAGAGTTATCGGAAGCTGCACCAAGGAGAGCCTGAATTGAACACCTGGGATGGTTTCAAGAAGGTGTTCATGCGGGAGTACATATCGGACAGCAAAAGGCGAGAACTGCAAAGAGAATTTGCAGATTTAAAGCAAGGGTCAGGTACTATTGAGAAGTACAAGGAGGAATTTGACCGCTATCTGCCTTTTGTGGGTGGCCAAGTCGGCGACGAGCAAGCCAAAGCCGACAAATTTTTGTGGGGCTTGAATTCTGACATTTACTTGGCGGTAAATCAATTTAAACCCGCCACTTATCGGGAGGCTGCGGACAGAGCCATAGATCAGGAGAAAGCTATGGCTAGAGTCAAGTCCTCAGGACAGCCTAGTGTCGGATCATCCCTTGGGAAGAGGAAGTTTGAGGGGAGTCGTCGATCCCTTTTCCTTGCACCACCTAGGTCTGGAAGCAGTAAGGGTTCTAGATGGTCAGGAGCTACCAAGACTGGGGGCCAGGCATCCACGGCTCAACGTGCTCGCCCTACTCCACCTACTTGCAACTTTTGTGGGAGGGTTGGGCACACCCATGATCAGTGCCACTTTGTTACTGGAGCTTGCTTCAGATGTGGCAAGCAAGGACATCAGATTGCAAATTGTCCGCTGCCAGACTCTAAAACTCAAAGTACTCAATCTACATCTCAACAGGGGTCTACCAATCAGGGGGCGCTGAAACAAAATGTTGGGGTTAGGACAAGAGCCCAACAGGCAAGAGCCCAAGCCCAGCAGGCAAGAGTCCACGTGATGACCCATCAGGAAGCTGCGGCTACCGACGTAATCACGGGTACCTTGCCTGTTAACTCTGATTTTGCACATGTTTTATTTGATTCGGGTGCATCGCACTCTTTTATTGCTCGATTTTATGCTTTGGAACGAGCTTTGCCTGTTGATACCTCTGATTTTGAATTGCATGTGGACACCCCTTTAGGAGGGGTGATGACTACTAGAGATGTGTGTAGGACTGTAGACACTTATGTTGATGGTAGACAGCTGAGTGCTAGGCTGTTTGTGTTAGATATCTCCGATTTTGATATCATTTTGGGGATGGATTGGTTGTCAGAGCATTTTGCCTCTATAGACTGCCATCGGAAATGGGTAATTTTTAATATTCCTGGTGAGCCAGAATTTAGTTTTCAAGGCAGTGGTTCTTTTGCTCCACCCGTGGTAGTATCTGCCTTGCAGGCTCAGAAATATCTTGTAAATGGTTGCCAGGGTTTTCTAGTCTCTGTTACTGATGCTAGTAGTGTGACATCGAGACTAGAGGACATACCGGTGGTACGTGAGTTTCCGGATGTGTTTCCGGAGGATCTTCCAGGTTTACCTCCGGATAGAGAGGTTGAATTTGCTATTGACCTCGTTCCTGGCACCGGACCCGTTTCCAAAGCACCATACCGTATGGCTCCTGCAGAACTGAAGGAGTTAAAAGTACAGCTGGAGGAACTCCTTGAGAAAGGGTTTATACGCCCTAGTGTATCACCTTGGGGAGCTCCAATGCTGTTTGTCAAGAAGAAGGATGGGAGCATGAGGCTATGCATTGATTACTGGGAATTGAATAAGGTGACTGTGAAGAACCGGTATCCCCTTCCTAGAATTGATGACTTGTTTGACCAGCTCAAGGGTGCTCAGGTATTTTCTAAGATTGATCTTCGATCTGGCTACCACCAATTGAAGATTAAACCGGATGATGTGCCAAAGACTGCCTTTCGCACCCGTTATGGTCATTATGAGTTCATAGTCATGCCATTTGGCTTGACGAATGCTCCTGCCAGATTTATGGATTTGATGAATCGGGTATTTGGTAAGTACCTAGATCAGTTTGTGGTTGTCTTCATTGACGACATTTTGATCTACTCTTCTAGCCGCACTCTTCATGAAAAGCACCTAAGGACAGTTCTCGAGACGTTGAGAAGGGAGAGGCTGTTTGCTAAATTTAAGAAGTGTGAATTTTGGCTAGACAATGTTGCATTCCTAGGTCACGTGGTGACTAAGGATGGGATCTCTGTTGACCCCCAGAAAATTGAGGCCGTGGTGAATTGGAAAAGGTCGAATAATGTTGCAGAAATTCGGAGTTTTCTGGGATTGGCGGGTTATTACCGTCGATTTGTGGGGGATTTCTCTAGAATTGCTCTGCCCATGACTCGTCTTATCAGGAAGGACACCAAGTTTGAGTGGACCCCAGAGTGTGAGAAGAGCTTTTTGACCTTGAAGGAGAAGTTGGTCACTGCCCCTGTACTTGCACTTCCAATTAATGGGGAAAGATTCACTATATATAGTGATGCCTCTAAAAAGGGTTTGGGATGTGTCTTGATGCAAAAAGATAGGGTTATTGCATATGCTTCTCGGCAATTGAAGCCTTATGAAGAAAATTACCCTACCCATGATCTGGAGTTGGCAGCTGTAGTATTTACACTTAAGATCTGGAGGCATTATCTGTATGGTGAGACTTGTGACATCTTCACTGATCACAAGAGCCTTAAGTATATTTTCACTCAAAAGGAACTTAATATGAGGCAGAGGCGATGGCTTGAACTTTTAAAGGACTACGACTTGACCATTAGCTACCATCCGGGCAAGGCTAACAAGGTAGCAGATGCGTTGAGTAGGAAGTCCTCTGGCACTGCCTCTAGCATCCTTGCCATTCAGAAGGAGTTACTTGAGGATCTTGTGAAACTGGATGTGGAGTTGAGAGTGGACAGCACTACAGCTTATCTAGCTGCTCTCAGGGCACAACCGGCATTAATAGATAGAATTAAACTTGCCCAACAAAAAGATTCCTTCTTGCAGAAGATGAAGGAAAAAGTAAAAGCCGGGGAACCCCACATGCAAGAATTCAGAATTTCAGATGACGAGATTCTGTGGTTTGGTGATAGGCTGTGTGTACCCAGAAACCATGCTTTAAGGGGTGAGATTATGGGAGATGCCCATTATACTAGCTATACAATTCACCCAGGTAGCACCAAGATGTATCGCGATTTGCGTAGTACATTTTGGTGGCGGAACATGAAGAGGGAGATAGCTAGATTTGTCTCGCAATGCCTGACTTGCCAGAAAGTCAAGGCTGAACACCAGAGACTTCCTGGAAAACTGCAGCCGTTACCTATTCCCCAGTGGAAGTGGGAGAACATCACCATGGACTTTGTGACTGGATTAGCACGAACCCTGAAAGGTAATGATTCCGTTTGGGTCATCGTTGATCGATTGACCAAATCAGCTCACTTCTTACCCTACCGGACTGGCACCTCCATTGAAAAGCTTGCCAACATGTATATGGAGGAGATAGTCAAACTACATGGAGTCCCTGTGTCTATTGTGTCAGATAGAGATACCAGATTTTTATCTCATTTCTGGACAAGCTTGCAGCAGGCACTTGGTACTCAATTAAATTTCAGCACGGCCTTTCATCCTCAAACTGATGGGCAATCTGAGAGAACTATTCAGATACTTGAGGATATGTTGAGGGCTTGTGTTCTAGATTGGAAGGGTTCATGGGATCAACACTTATCCATGGCTGAATTTGCATACAATAATAGTTATCAGTCCAGCATCCGCATGGCACCATTTGAGGCTTTGTATGGTCGAAGGTGTAGATCACCTGTCTGTTGGACGGAAGTGGGCGAAAGGAGCATTTTAGGCCCAGAATTGGTGCAACAATCCTCTGAGATTGTGCAGTTGATCAAGGAACGCCTTCGTGCTGCACAAAGCAGGCAGAAAAGCTATGCGGATAGAAGGAGGCGAGACCTTGAGTTTGAAGTTGGTGACCACGTATTTTTGAAGGTGTCACCCACTCGAGGTGTTCTCAGGTTTGGCATCCGGGGAAAATTGAGTCCGAGATATATTGGACCATATCCCATCTTGGAAAGGATTGGCGAGGTAGCTTATAAATTGGAGTTGCCTGGAAATCTAGCGGGTGTTCATGATGTGTTTCATGTGTCCCTACTTAGGAAGTACGTCCCCGACCCGAGTCACATCATTAATCCCGAACCAATTCAACTCCGGGAGGATCTTACTTATGACGAGCACCCGATCCGCATTTTAGATTTCAAGGAGAGGGTAATGCGGAAAAGGACCATTCGTTTTGTCAAGGTCCTCTGGGACAACCATTCGATTAAAGAAGCTACTTGGGAGTTGGAATCCAAGATGAGGCAGGACCATCCGCACCTCTTCCAAGATTGAGGTATGAGTTTAGGGGACTAAACTCCTTTTTAGGAGGAGTGGATGTAATACCCAAAAACTTCAAGCACATTAAGTTGAGTTAGGGACCTAATAGTGAAGAAACATTATTAATGGGCCTAACTGTCAGTTTTTCAAACTTTAAAGGGGTTAAAACTCTTATTGGATAAGGCCGGCTGACTCATCTCTTTTTCCTTTATCTTTTCTTTCTTTCTTTTTCCCAGCCATTTTCGCGTCTGCTCTGTTTTCTTTCTCCCTGCAGCCGAACACCACCAGCCTTCATCATCATCTACTTCTCTCAGAAATTGGTAAGAGAACTTGATGATTTTGTTCTCTTCTTGCCCAAGAACAAGTCTAGAACTTAGAACTTCTCTCTCTTGCAGAAAAGCCGCCGGATCTGCCCTGCTTCTCCCTTCCCTGCCGCCGGCTGTTGCTGGGTATAAGCTCCAGTTTTTCCTGGTAAAATCAGCCCAGAAACTCTTCTTTTCAGCCTTGATGTATATTGGGTTCACCCTAATCTTGTTCCTTCCAATTGCTAGTGGCCCGTGAAAGTCCTCCAATTTTTCCTGTCGGCTCTCCCCCATACCGCCAGCTCCAGCCTTGCTTGCTGAGCATTTCTGGTAAGTTGGCTTCTCTAATCTTCGAAAATTAGTGGATTAATGGCTGTTGTGAGTTAATTGGTTGTGTCGGTGTTTGGGTTGTCCAAAAACAATCTGTCGGAGGTAGGGGATGAGTTTGGCAATTTGAAACTGGATTGGTTGATGATTTAAGTAGAAAATCCTTAAATTGGCTGTTGTGTATGTGTCTGAGAGAAAAGGAGGAAAATTCTGTGAATTGGCCTTTTTGTCAAGGCCAGTTCTCCCAATCCTGTCCATTAGTTTGAAAAATTGTATATGTGTAATTGTATAATTGTACATACATAGATATTAATTTGGGAATATTGTGATTAGGTCCTTGATTGCCCTGTGATCCTAGCACTTGGATTAAGTCTCCTGTCCTGTGCAATTAAGGTAAGTAAATTTATGGTAATACCCGTATGGTTTCAAAAGCATGTTTTGGGTTTGTTTTTGAAATGGTGGCGGGACTAAACTCGTTTTATACAAAATAAGTATGATTGTTTTGAACTGAAAGTTTTTATGATTTTTATGAATTTGAGCATGCCTACTTGAAGTTCATTTGATTGACCCGATGATTGAAAGTTATTTGTAAAGAATGATTTTATGTTAACTTCTGCCTGTTTTGTCTCCGATGTGGTTATGTTATTGATAATCCTGCTAGTGGGGGTTAAACACTAGCACATGTCGACATGTTATTGATAGAACCGGTTCGCCTGACTGACCCTGCTAGTGGGGGTTAAACACCAGCAAATACTGTAGCCTGCCAGTGGGAGATTTAAACACTGGCCATGACCTACAGAGGAGACGTCTATTTCTTTCCCGTACTGTATCCGTTTTTATTATATTGTTGGCATGCCATAAGTTTAATTGACTGCTACTGAACCTTATTCTGCAAAATGGTTTATCATTGAACATTTTGTTTATGGTTAAAATGTTTATCTGAAACGCTCAAATTTTACTCACGGGTTATCCATACATTTACTTATTGAGATAGTTTATCTCATAGTTTTCCTTGTCCACCATTTCAGGTAGTGAGACCCGATGCGTGGGGAGCCCGGGGGAGTGACGAGCTAGACGGCTAGGCACTTTTGGACTTAGGTTTTGTAGCTAAGCCGTTAGTCACCCATGCTTGACATAGAAATTTTGTGTACAGAATTTAGTGTTAATCTTGATTATATATATATGAAATGAAAAAAATTTTGTATATCTGACTGGTAAATATTTGGTAATTAAAAAGAATTATATCTGAAGTACCTAAATTGTTAAGTAAGAACTTAGTAGGTTTCGAGCCTTGTGCATTTGTGGGCCCCGCTCACGAGTGCACGGCGTCTGTCTTGCTCCGGGTTTGGGGCGTGACACCTCCTTCATGGGGATGTTATTCTTGTTAGGTTCTCTTTGTTTTTTGATGATGGTTTAAAACCATGATTCAAAAGAATTTAATCTATTTTTGTGTTAAGTGTGCAGGAAAATTAATCCAAGGTTTCTAATCTTTCCCCACGATTAGAATTTATTCATGTTCTCCTTGTTCAGAGTTCTGGGTTCGAACCAATTTATTTTGGTTCGAATCAATCTCGGACTTTTGTTTTCCAAAAATGGTTCGAAGTAATATTTCTAGCTTCGAAGCAAAAATTCTAGAAGGTTAAATTTTGACAGCTCAACTATTTGTTTATTTTTAATGGGTTATAGGATATCTAAATGTCTTAGCACTTTCCAAGACAAGTCAGAAGAATAAGGTGGAACCATTGGGGCAATTGTGAGGTGACTTTGAAGGTCTAAATGGGCAATTAATGGCAAGGCTCCCAACCAATTATTAAAACACCAAAAATCAGATCTGGAAAAAGAGGAAGAAGGTAGAATTGCTATAGCGTTTCTGAAAACAGAGTTTGAAACAGTTCTGGGTTTCCTTCTTCTCTTCTTGTGAGCTTTTGGGTATATTGTCTTACAAGGGTTTTGTATTCTTCTTGGATTGGGTTAATCCTTGAAGGGGTTGAGTGAGTTGAGATTCACTTGTGAGGGTTTAATCTTGCACCCGCAAGCAAGAGGTTGTTCCGGTTTAATTTTGCACCCGTAAGCAAAAGATTTCTAGTGGATTGAACTCTCGAGCAAGGAGGCTTGGGGAGTGGACGTACTCCGGGTTGGAGGAACCACTATAAATCACGGCTTGATATTCTCTTCCCTCTCTTTTATTTTTCTGCACTTTATTTGTAAGATTGCAGTTGATCTTTGTTTATTTTGCATAACAGATTATACATATATATTGAAAACTTCATTCACGTTTTTATAAAGGAAAAGAATGAGTTTTATATCTTAGGAATTGGCTTAGGGTAGCTAGCTGGAATTACAATTCTTAGTTTTGCTTTTCACTTCAGGTACAGTTTCTCTATAAAACTCCATTTTGATTTCATAAACACTACAGGTTAATGATATTTTAATTTTTTTTAAGGGAAACGGTATCGTGTCAATGTTATGGATGCAAATATGCAATGATTGGCATCATTTTGCAGGGCCAGCATCTGCTCAACAGCGAGTACCACCTTGCTTGGGACTTTGTCAAGATGTACTCCCAGATTGCCTTGCCGCTTGTGTTTCGGAAGGATTTCCTAAGGGAGGGAGTTGTGTCAAGTTGCAGGGACCAAATTTTATTTGCTGTTGTATTGGTTGACCCCTAAATCCTAATGATCTAAATTATGAAATAATATAAAATAATTTTCTGTAATTGATATTTTCTTCTCTTTCTTTCTTTATATATTAGTACTTTTTGAGTTCTTTTGTATATATAACTTTTTTATTTTATTCATGAATTGTGTTTACTATTATTCTACTAAAAGAGTATATGGGTGCTACTCCAATGCTTCCAATGCTCAAAAGGAAATCAACACAAAATACAGCTCAAAATAAACCATATCCATTACAATCCTGCCTTTACAGACTATATTATATGATCAGCTAAATACCTTTAACAGGACAAAATTGAACTTGAAACTTTGTGCTTTGTCACGATCCTCTTCTCTTTGCAATATTTTGGTTTTAGCCTCTTACTGACCCAACTGTCCCTATTTCCATCAGTTCTACATCAGCTCAAAAGAAAGAAAGTAAGCCTAAAATTGGCACATTCTAACGGCTTACACCCCCAGGAGCCCTCCGACTCCTTTTCCTTGAGACCATTATTCTTAACCTACAATATAAAAAAATTAGCTCTTAAATTGCACGATATAAAAGTAAATAGCCCAAAATGGATAGCAGCTCGCCAAGTGCATCAGGAGGCTGTTCATCTTCCTTCAGCCCGTGACCTGTTAGTGCTAAATTGCCACATCATTTTGTCTACATGGGTCCATGATCTCACTTTAATTTCAAAGTGTGAAATGATTTAAAAAAATTTTTTTACAATATTTTTATATAACTTTATGTGTTATTTAATAATTAATTTTTTTATTTAATTAAAATTAATAATATTAAATATACCTATTTATTTGATAAAATATGAAAGCTGTATAAAACTTTTGACCAAACTCAAACTTATCTTTTATTTAATGTTAATTTTGCCTAAAACTTTCTATGATCAAGCAATTTGGTTTAGAAATATTAAATAATTTAAAATTTTTCATCTAGATTTCTAATTTAGTCAAATCAGTCCATCAACTTTTAATTTGTTGCAATTGTGCATGAATGTTCTTGATTTTGTCCAATTCAATTCTAAAGTTTTCAAATATTGTAATTTTCTCATTTATTTTCAAGCTTGCTTAATTAAGACCTAAAGAATAAATAAATTAAATTAAAACCTAATTTTAAAGTATGTAACTGTGTTTTACAAAGAAGATTGAGATTTGTGTGTATGTCCTTCCTCACCTTTAAATCAAACTCTCGAACCTTGATCCTTGTGCAAACCTATTTTAGGTAATTTGTCACACCTCGTAATTTAAACAAGTGACAACTCCAATTTTCTTAATCTTTCACACTTAATTTTTCAATTTTATCTTTTTAAAAAAATTTAAATGGTTTTTAACACTCGTGACATGCCATGTGTTTCAGGAGTTGGCAAGAGTCCTTTACAGCATTCCTTTTGAGAGTTTCTATGACATACCATCGATCTTAAGTACTAAAATGGCTAAATTTATCCAGCAATTAAATGAATTATTGGTTTTTGCTATATATATATATATATATATATATAGTATCGTGTACCTACTACCATAAGTCCATGACTAAAAATTGTGAGATCTAGGGTTGGGCATTTAATTTGAATTGTTTGAACCGAATTGAATTTTTGATAAAAAAATTTAAAAATACAATCATACACATAACTTAAGGATTTTGATTGCACTTATATTATGTTTTAAAGAAGTGATATTGAAATAACCTTTTTTATAAGTTTTTTATATAATTTTTATATGTTATTAAATGAGTAGATACACTCAATATCACAAATTTTAAATAAATAAAAAGAATTAA